GCCCCCAAATTTATTAAAACCACACAAAATTGTTTACCATACCTTTATCTCACATAAATGATTTTTGTTAATTTATTTAACAGCCAAACTGGGCGTGGTGGCCCACACCTGTAACCCCAGCACTTCGGAGGCTGAGGCAGGTGGATCACCTGAGGTCAGGAGTTCGAGACCAGCCTGGCCAACATGGAGAAACCTCATCTCCACTAAAAATACAAAATTAGCTGGGCATGGTGGTGCATGCCTGTAACCCCAGCTACTCGGGAGGCTAAGCCAGAATTGCTTGAACCAGGGAGATGGAGGTTGTGGTGAGCTGAGATCGCGCCATTGCACTCCAGCCTAGGCAACAAGAGGGAAACTCCGTCTCAAAACAAACAAACAAACAAACAAACAAAAACAGCCTACAGGTCTTTAAAAACACATACCTACAAACTTTTAAAATTACCACATATAATAGAGAAGAGGGCTTCCTCTGGTACAAATAAGAATATAAACAAGAAGATAAAGTGATTCTTCCCATGGTCATTCATAAAATAAATTATAATACAGACTTGTTAACCAATCACATTTAACAAAATCTATTTGAAGAGTTAACCAATAACTTAATGGAAGCCTCTGAGCTTCATTAGAGTCTTAAGTATTAGGACATCACAGAGCCTAGAAAAATGATATACACACTCACATGCATATACACACAGACACAAGCACACTTCTGATGTCTCTACTGAGAAATCCATTAACTTGAAGAAGGCTTGAGAAAGGCATCTTAATAACCCATTTCAAATTTCCTTTTATTTATTTTAGAATAAGTTTCCATGAAAGTCTCAGGCTATGTACAACTAAGTTACTTCTAACTCAGAATGTATCTTGAGTTCTCTAGTGAAAAGTTACCCAATACAAAATTTAAATCCAGGAACTAACTAGTAAGATTTTTCTGGTAAATTCTAACTGCTGAAAGCCAGCGGAGGGAAAAAAAAAAATTGAATCATGTTTCCATATGAAAATAAAAAAGCCAAGTGTTGGAGAATCAGTTAATACAGGAATATAAAACTCACTGAGGAAAATAATGTAATGTACACAGGGTAACAATCTGAGCAAAGACAGGAAAAAGGCATTTCTCCAAAAAATAAAAGGTACTTTACCAGGGGACTATTATTCTAAATCAATGAAGTCCAACTGAAGGAGATTTGATTCTATTTTATAAACTCTCCACTATTATGTGACACTGCTAGTAACCAAACACACTCAATTCCAAAGACAACCTGTTCAAGTTTAGTTCGCATGACCTAGAAAAACTTCCATCTTCACAGAAAAGGTACTAGGAAACCAAGTAAAACCATCACGTGTTAAAACAAATAAATGCAAAAGTATAGTAAATATAAAAATGCATGGAAATGTTTAGGAAAACAAAACGAGGTAGTTTTTAAATATAAACAGTAATATTTGGTATGAAAAATCCATTATTTACCCATTTTGACTACCATAGGACTACAATGCCACATTAAGTTATGATCAAAAATTGACAATTCTAAAAACAATATTTAGGTCAACAGAGACAACTTCCTTCCAATTAAATAAGTTCAATCAGACCAACAAAAACACCCAAACTTTTTCTTTCCATAAAAATTCAACTTTGATATTAAGAACATTTTTCCACTGACAATAGTCTAAATTATCTCTCCAATCTCCGCTTCTTTACTCCCTTAGTTCACCCTTAGCATGAGATTGGTCTTTCCAAAAACATATTTCAGAGTAACCTCCCTTGCTCAAAAAACCTCAGGGCTACCGCTGACACACCTAATGCTCAAATTCCTTAGCCTGGCTTAGTCAACCAAGGCTATTCACAATATGGCTCCCATCTTTCTGGCTTCCTCTCAGTACTCTCCCAGAGGAACCTTATTCAGTCAATTTGACCCACTGACTTCAGGATACCTTGTGCTTTCATAATTAACAAAGTATTTTCTTCCTGTTAAGATTAACACACTGCAGAAAGCAAAGCAAAAATTTCTAAACAAATTTGAAAGTTGGTAAGAATGAAATGTATGCAAATATTACTTTTTTGTTTTGTTTTTTGGATTTTTTTTTGAGGCGGAGTCTTGCTCTCACAAAGACTGGAGTGCAGTGGCACGATCTCAGATCACTGCAACCTCTGCCTCCTGGGTTCAAGCAATTCTCCTGCCTCAGCCTCCCAAGTAGCTGGGATTACAGGCACGCACCACCACACCTGGCTAATTTTTATATTTTTAGTGGAGACAGAGTTTCACTATGTTGGCCAGGCTGGTCTCGAACCCCTGACCTCAGGTGATCCACGCGCCTCAGCCTCTCCAAGTGCTGGGAGCCACTGCGCCTGGCCCTTACCTATAATTTTTGACAGAATAAGTTAATTCCTAGTGATTGCCTTATTAAAAAAACTGAGAACAAGAAACGGTTTGGTAAAGAAACAAACCCACAGGCCCAGCATGGTGGCTCCTGTCGGTAATCCCAGCACTTTGGGAGACCGAGGCGGGCCAACATGGTGAAACCCTGTCTCTACTAAAAATGCAAAACTTAGCCGGGCGTGGTAGCGCACGTCTATTAATTCCAGCTACTCAGGGGGCTGAGGCAGGAGAATCACTTAAACCCAGGAGGCGGAGGTTGCAGTGAGTCGAGATCATGCCAATGCACTCCAGTCTGGGTGACAGAGCGAGACTCTGTCTCCAAAAAAATAAAAATGAAACAAACCTACATCTTCTCTCAAGCTTTTAATATAGCCATATAGCAATGCTTCCATTCAATTTTTGACTAAAAACTTTTGCAAAAGATGGTAAGACGAAAGACTCAGAAACCCTGGACAGTGTCCAAATATTTAACTTACCTGATAACATTTTATGATTCACCATCAGGACCCAATCTATTGCTAAACTACATAAGCAGTTTAGGCTAATAAGTTGACACTTTTTCTAGGGAAAGTACATCCCTAATTCACCCCAGAAATTTTCAAAATCATTAAGCTGTTTTAAAGGAAAAATCACTATTTTCATAACCACAAACAATATATTAGCAAGTTTTGGCTGTTATCACATCTCTAAGCACTGAAGACATCCTCAACTTAAAATTTCAACTTCCCCCCAAAAACAAAGATAACAAACTAAACCACTGCATTATAATTAACTACAACACAATAAAGACAGCTCCTAAATCCTAAATCCTTTTGTTAAGACATTTACTTTTTGTGGGAACAATACCTGACATTTATGAAATTAAAAACAAACAAACAAACAAAAAACGCTTTCAGAAAAAAGCAAACAGCAACACCAAGACATGGTTTAAAATTTTCAAAGAAACGCTTATCAACTTGGAACCTATGGTAAATCAATTATTTACTGGAGACACAACCACACAACAAAGGTGAGGCAGCATCTGAGATATCAGATCATCAATGCGTAATACTTAGAGCCCTTGAACTAAAAAGTCAGTCCACTCTTGAGCTACCACAGACATTAAAAGGGTTATCCCCAAGTATCTCATTAGCAGGTCTACAGCAAAGGTAGAAGAAAGGTAAGAACCAAAAAGAACACAGAAGAAAAAAGCACAGGGTGAAGGGAAAGGTTGGAGGTAAGAACAGAAAGAACAGAGATAAATGTGTAAGACTAGAAAGAGGAAGAAGAAAAATGAAAAATGAGAGAAGGTGTAAAGTAAAAAGGCAGCTACACTTGCCCGGGGGACATTAGCCCCAAAGGTAATATACTACTGAAACTAGAAACCTTCAAACAAGGAGTTGCCCAATAAATCCTTTTAAGAAAGTTTTAGGAAAACCACTCTTCTTAGAAAACCCCTGACTTTCGAATGAACTAAAACCAGAATCTAATCTATCTTTTTTTCTGAATGTTCTCAAACTGTATTCCTTTAGTACACTTTATTACAGTCCTATAAATTATAAATTTGATTTTTAAGTTTTAGCCAGACTTTGATAAGCTCCAAACCTAAGTAACACCTGATTGGTAATGCCCTCAAGTGAAGCATCAGTACTTCGGGTAATTCACAGTAACACCATAAGGGAGAAAACCCTTAAAAAAAAGAGGCTAAAACAAAAGATAAAACATCTTAAATGAAGTATGTCTTAATCTGGGTACCTATGAAAGTCACGCAAGACACAGCAGATGGGGTGTGAAACCACCATTTTGTTTTTAAAAGGTACAGGACTAAAAGAACCAGAGAGATGTGTGGGTCTGAAGCTATTCGAAATATAAAACTTATTTCAGGAGGAGGAACTTAGTAAAAATTCAAAGTCAAACAGAGTAAATAAAATGTCATTAAGGGCACGAGATACAAAAATTCATTAAAATACTGCTTTTGCTTGGGCTCTCCAAAACAGAAAGGCATGTATCCCTGACTGGTCCAGCCATCCTCAGAAAGCTAGTACTCAGCATTGAGGGTGTGTTACTGAGAATTCTTTAGAGCTGCTTGAAGCTCTGAAACCAAAACTACAGACTCCCATAATCTTTCTAGATTTTCTGGCCTAGAATATATTTTTATACTTGTTCACCAGGAAAAGGCACTTCTCAAAACCAATCCACACCATGAAAGTTTTATCTTCAAGTATCTAACTACGTGGTAAACACATCATTTAGCTAGAACAATTTCTGAATCAGAGCTGTCATTGACAGGTCTGGTGCTTTGGATGTAGCTTTCTGTATGTCTTCTCTAATCATTTATTTTCTCCTATTTTCCAACCACCTTATATTGCCACTGTCCTTCCATTCCCACCCTTTACCTTCCTCCTGTATATGTACAGACACACAAAAAGAGTATCAGTACCACTACGTATGTATCTATGTGTATACATACACACATATACCTGTATATGTATACACACACACAAAGACACACATGGCAGGAGCCCCAATATCAGAGTTTATTATAAACCAAAGATAAAGACATAAATAATATTGTAGAATGGAAATAAATCCATTAATTCTTATTTCTAAGATAAAACAGAACTGTCGTTGGACACTACAACTCACCCGATGGTTCTTCAGGCTCACTTTCATTTTCTTCCTCAGGTGGGGCTTGAGGGGGTGGTGGGGGAAGTTTCTTTTCCTTCTCTGCTTTGGCATTTCTCTCTTCTTCTGAATAATACTCATCTTCTGAGAGGTTGGCCAAGCTTTCATCCATCTCTCTGTACTCTACCTATATGGAGATCACACCAGGGAAAGCTAAATGCAGTGAACATTTAAAATCAGGGACTCTATTTGGAACCATCAATCAATGTGAATTGTTAACTTCACATTTTAAGGGAAGTAAGTGTACAACAAGGAACAAGCCAGTTTATAATAGGTAGTTATTAAAAACAAAACCTTCATGAAACAATCTTGTGTCAGTTCAGGTTCAAACTAATCTGCAACTTTTACATCATAGCACTGACATTCAAATCATTGACTCTAAGGCTCTCAACAACTTCTCAAAAAAAATTTTTAATTGTATGTATCATGCTCACATACCGGAATTTCCAACATAAGATTAAAATAACCCTCAGACAAAAATATAGTTAACTAGAATATCAAGTCTGTCTAATGCCAAGCCTGTGCTTCTAACTACTATTCCAACGGAAAATAGCAAAACAATTCCAAAAACCAAATGGAGGGCATAGAGTAGAAAATAACAACAGTCAAACTGAAACTATGAAAAGGTGCATTTGCTTAAAAAATTCACTTAGGAGAGGCCAGGTGCAGTGGCTCACGCCTGTAATCCCAGCACTTTGGGGGGCTGCGGCAGGCAGATCACCTAAGGTTAGGAGTTCGAGACCAACCTAGCCAACATGGTGAAACCTTCTCTACTAAAAATACAAAAATTAGCTGGGTGTGGTGGCAGGCACCTGTAATCCCAGCTACTTGGGAGGCTGAGGCAGGAGAATCGCTTGAACCCAGGAGG